TGAACCAATCACGTCGCTAACAAGATCATCTGGTACAAATTTGATCGGCTTCCACCGTAGATCGTATGGATGTCATCACCTTGAGCCTGACTAAATTTTTGTTGACTTCCAAGAACCAAAGGCATCTGTGTTTGCTAGAAGCAGTAAGGCAGAGTAACTATGGTGGAAATAAGTTTATTTATTCATAAACTTATGCATTCAAAACAATAAAAATGAAATTTTTCTCCGGTTGGATATATCACGATCGTAGAGAACTACTCAGTACTCACTGACAATTAAGCATCATTTCTTGCCCTTTTTGGAGGACCCTGAACCCTTGCTTTTTTTATCAGACCCGCTTTTCTTGCTCCCCTTGCTCTTTCTCTCCTTGTCCGAATTTGCTGCGGCAGGTTGAAGTGATTGCACTGGACGACTATCTGCAAACCACGCATACCTAGTGGTCCACTCTCTAGCCATTGTCTCAAATGCCATCCACGAATTCTCCATAATTAGTGCAATATGCGGGTTCAGTGCATTTTCGGCCATAGGAAAAGCCATCAATGAAAGAACAGATAGGATTACTAATACAAAAAGTGTTTCATCGAAAAAGTCTACTTTTGGCAATGGTTACTCTAGGCGTCCACCCATTTCGGAGTATATCGAGACAAATTTCTCCGCTATTCGTAATGTTAGGATGAAAAATAGAAGTTTCGAAAGTCACTGTTGGTGGGTTTCGTGGAAAATCTTTGGGAAATCTGATAGCCAAAGTAAACCTTCCTCCTTCGTAGGGAGAATTTGGCTAAAATATGCTCGACTCCTCATTTAAAAAATTTCTTACTGGACCTTTTATTTGAGCTTTCCATACAAAAACTAAGCGAGGGCAAAGGAGAAAAAGCTATCTTACTATTGCTCGGATCCGGGATAGTGATAATGCAATATTCGAGTTTATCTTGTTGGATGTCCCAGAACTCCTGACTTTGTAGTGAAAAAATTAATAACTAAAACCTTTCTGACTCTGGATGCGGGATCCGAAGGAAAAAGGCAGCAATCCATACCAAATCCAAGCGACCACACGATATCCCGATAATAATCTCCAAAGGCCGCGAGTTGTTTGTACGCATGTAAATATTGATGAATCGCAACTTATTCAACGTGAAAATAATTTTTTCATATCGTTTTTGTAATATTTTATTTATTGTAGGCGGCATGCTGGTGAAACTGATTATTTATAAAATTATCTTTCACAATGTCAGAAGATTAGAAACTGGCAACCAAACCTTTTTTTACGAGAAACCGCGTTTATATTTGGACGGTTTAGCAAATCTCAGGCTACAAAAGCCGTTGTTAAGTATTTTAATTTGTGTAAAA